CGAAATGATAAACTTGCTCCGATAATTGATGTTTGGACGATTTTCAATTCAAATTTGAGTAATATGTATAAACCGACAGCAAATTTGACAATCGACGAACAACTTTATCCCTTTCGAGGTCATACAAAATTTACGCAATATATCCCGTCGAAGCCAGCAAAGTACGGGATAAAAATTTGGTGGATTTGCGATGCCGAGAATGCGTACCCTCTGCACGGAATTATTTATGCAGGTAAAACTGGAAATATCCGCGAAAAAAATCAAGGAGAGAGAGTTGTAAAAGAATTAGCAGCACCGTATAAAGGAAGTGGCAGAAATATTACTATGGACAACTTTTTCACAACTCTACCTCTTGCCAAGCATTTACTTTCGTGGCAACTGGCTATTGTAGGTACGCTTCGAAAAAACAAGCCGTACATTCCCAAACAAATGGCTTCTCACAAATCCAGACCAGAATACTCCTCACTCTTTGGTTTTCACGAAAAAGTTGCTCTCTGCTCGTACGTTCCGAAAAAAAATAAAGCCGTGATTTTATTATCGACAATGCACTACGATGCTGCTGTGAATGACGATGAAAAAAAGAAGCCTCACATGATCACCTATTATAATAAATACAAGAGTGGAGTGGATACAATGGATCAGATGGTGTCCCGATACACAACCCACAGACGAACAGCAAGATGGCCCCTTGCTATATTTTTCAACATTTTGGACGTAGCCGCTCTTGCCGCATATATAATTTATTATGAAAATAATAAAATGATCAAGAAGAAAACAAATCAGCGACGTGTTTTTTTGCGGCAACTAAGCGAAGAATTGGCAAAACCATTCATCGAAGATCGCGCTGGGAATGCTCAAGTAATGCATCACTTTACAACAAAGTTGGCAATCGAGAGCATGATTGGTGTTCAGCTCGTCCCTTCCGAGGTTCCTCAGCGAGATAGTACTGGCCGCAAAAAAACGACTGGTTCCTGTCATGTGTGCTACAAGGAAACCATAAAAAGACGGAGGAAAACACAAAAAAGTTGCTTTGTATGCAAAAAACCCGTCTGCGATAAGCATTGTGTAAGCATAACAAAATGTATTGATTGCGCTCAATAAATAAAAAAAATGTGTTGATTACGTCCAATAAACGTTAGTAGTACTTAACAATTATATTTATTGTTTATTTATAAACCACAATTACCTCAACAAAATATTAATCAATGTTATTAATTAATTCTTAAGTGAAAACATTATTTTACATCTAGTGGGTACACGGGTACCCGGTTGTGCCCATTATGTACATGTAATAAAGTCATGTAGTTTAGGTTAAAAAAAATTGAAAAAAAAAATTATGTTGATGGTTTTATATTCTAAAAGAGTTAAATAATGAGGATCCGGAGGGACAAATCGATATTTCAATTTTTAATCAAGTTACGAGCAATAATATGGCGCGGCGGATACACGGGTACCCGTTGTGCACATAAGGGTTAATATGATTAATTCTTGCTTTTATTTAGATTTTCTGGATTTAAATGCAGAAACCAATCGTAATAAAAATATCATTTAACATACACTGATCTGTTTGTTATCACTTCAATAATCGATATACATATCGATCGAAGCGTGCGAGGCTGAAAGGTTAAAAATCCTAGCGCTCTAACGCCTCTTGCGTCAAAAATTGTAAAAGGACATTTCCCCCACCTCGCAACTAGGCGACGACGACGACGATGACGTTACTTAATTCTTAAATTCCTACATTTCGGACTTTGCATTGTAATATCTCCGCTCGTAGGACACGTAGAGAAAAAAATAAAGACACTTTCATTATATGAATCGAACCCAAGCTATCGATTAAGATCGATACGGGTATGTCAAGCTATGCCAGGTCTCTTAACGCGATCCGTCGCATTGCGAGCACCCGAGATTTTGAGATCTCAATAACGGTCGAACTGATTAAGTTCTAACTTAATCGGTTCG